AGCCCAACCAATGTTAGGCACCCTATTCAGAGACCTTAAGGACCAGCACCAAATAACCTATATAATCATTCTATGAGCCCTTTACCATAGCTGAGGACACCATCTTCTCTGCTCTTCACCTGAGCCTGGCACACTTGGAGGAGAAGAACAAGCACATGGGGATGCTGTTCCTGGACATTAGTTCAGCTTTCAACTCCATCATCCCACAGCATCTGATAGGAAAACTGGAACAACTGGGCTTCAATACACCCCCCCTGCAATTGGCTGCTAGACTTCCTCACAAACAGACCTCAGTCAGTCCGAGTTGGACAGAACCCCTCTGATGTCATCACCCTAAGCACAGGCTCCCCTCGGGGCTGCGTCCTGAGCCCCCTGCTGTTCCCTGTGATGACACATGACTGTGCTCACAGGTTCAACACCAATTACATCTGGAAGTTTGCAGACGGCACCACGGTGGTGGGCCTTATCAGAGACGACAACGACCAGGACTACAGAGAGAAAGTGGAGCAGCTGGGGGACTTGTGCCGAGATATCAGCAGTAGGCTGCAGCACCTCAGACTCTAAGAACTTGAGAAGTGGTAAAAACAGCAGAGACGATCATCTGGGCTCCTCTTCCCTCCATAAAAGACATTTCATCCCAGCGCTGCATGCCCAGAGCCCGTAACATCATCAGCGACCCCTCACACCCCCACCATGGACTGTGCTCCCTGTTGCCCGCTGGGAAGAGGCTTCCAGCATTAGATGCAGGACCAGAAAGTTCTTTAACAGCTTTTTCTCGACTGTTGAAACTAATCAAGTCACAAAACAAGACTCTGCATCACGCTAATAACATTAAATTTGCACTACTGCATTTTGCACTGCTCTGAATCTTACACATCAAGGCCTTTTAGTCCATGTCTCTCCTACACTCTTTACATTTTTGATCACTGCTGCACTTTATAAATGGAAATGGTCATTTTTACTTCTAAGCTGCTGCTCGTTCACAGTCAGAAAGCTGTATGTAAATAAATTTCATTTTGTATACACTCTGTATGTACAAAGCTACGAGAACCAGCAGAAGAATGCTGCACTTCTGTGTTTTGGCCACAGGTGACAGTATCATAAGAAAACTCCATAATGCCTCTTTAAATGGAATTTGGGGTTTTCTGAAAAGAGCACACAGAAATATGAAATGAGAATTGAACAATGACATTTTTAATTTTTTTAAATGAGTTCTTAAATCCCACATTAAAAAAACAATAGAACTTATTAAATATTAATTTCAAAAGATCAGAGGAAAAACAAAAAAAACTTTTTTTTAGGAGCGCATAGCTTCTATATATTTATTAAACTTCCTCACATACAGTAGTTTTAATAGACATTCAAATTACAATAATAGTGTTGAAACCATCTACCTGGATCACCAGTCAGATTAACAATTGTGGCATATGTACAAAAAAAAAGAAAAGAAAATCACCTCCAACTGTGCAAACTTTCTGTGCCCACTTTCCTGAATTTATAGTAGCTTTGTACCTTGGGGATGGTTGTGACACTTGTTCCAACCTTCCCTAAGCTGTCAGATAAGATAGATCCCCATGTGAAAGCTAGACACACTAACAATTTAACTTCAAAATTAACTACATATTCATTCAATCTAGTTATATTATAATAAATTCATACAACCAGTCAAGACAGTAAGAAAAAAATACATGAAAAAAATACTTTGAGGCCTTGAAAAAGGAGTTTTTGCAGCCGTCCCTTGTTGCAGCTTTCACCTACTGTATTTAATAATGGTGTCAGAGAAATATGTCCACTTTGCATAAAAACTTTCTCTGAAATGTTAACAGACTACAACTAGTACCATTAGCAAGAACCTACAAGGGGGAAAAGGGTGTGAATAGAAGACATTTAAGATTTGCTCTGGAAATAAAAAGGAATTTATAGTTCACGGTTGAAGCAAACCTAATTGAATAAACAAAGGGTCTGCCTGAAAAGGTCATAAGCATGAAAAAGCCCAGACTATAAATAACCTAAAGCCTTTCAGTGATAATTGACCTATAATGAATAAAGGAATACATTAGTAAATACATAAATAAATAAATCAGGTATCTAGGTTAATTTGTGTTGTATAGTGATTACACTCATCACATTAAAAACTGTATAGTTAGTGTTTCTGATATCTAAATGTTGGCTTTATGTTTTGCGGACAATTTTAATCAGACACAAAATCAAAAAAATTTAGCCAGGTTTTTGGATTAGAGTGAAATTAGAAGCTCATTAGTTTTTAAGCATATCCCCATTTTAACTCGTACAATAACCTGGTTAGACTTCATTGAACGTTTTCCACAGACCAAGTTAAAAACTAGAATGGTAAAATTATGTTTTGGTGTATATTAGATTACACCTTTTAATGCTAAATTTATTTGTTCCTCCATAAAAGTCTTTCTGCAGATTATGAGCTTGATGTACTTATTTATTTCTTTATATCTGACCGTGTTTAAGCCAAACTATAACTTAATATTGTTTGTGTTAACCAGGTATTATATGTTTATAACCAAGGTTATTGGCTATTCTTTTCAGGATGCTCTATAACCCAACCCTGGTTCAATTCAAATTCAGTGTGCCTTGTTCTTCAGTCTCTTGTTTAACAGCCGGACTGTACGTCCATGTGAACAGCTCTTACTCAGAGCTTAGTCCCTCCCTGTCCCTGAAATGCCACCAGAGAGCAGCGTAGAGGGGAAATGGTTGCGAGTGTGTCCAAGTTCTTTTGCCAACAGCATTATTAAATTATAAGCTTCCTACTTATTTCCAAGACATGTTCCTGCAAAACACAATGCTGATTTGCTGTTTATGTATCTTTTGTAAATGTGCACCTTCAAGGCAATGGGTATAAAAAAGAAAGAGTGGCAAAACCAGTTTCAGTGGCAGCCCTCTTCCTAAATTTACAGAGCTGTCTCTCTAAACAAAACTGACAGGGCAAATGAGCGAACTATAAAAAAAACATTTTCTTTCCAATTTAGTGACTCTGCTTTAGAGCATGCAATAAGTATGTGGACTTAATCAGGGTTAACAAAATATATCTGATTTAGTTCATTCATGTAATGTTTTACATTAAAATGCATGAAAAACACGGGAGGTTAAATCAACAGCATAGAAGTTAGAGAGCTTTGCTAAATTAATCACATATGCATCTCAGTAAAGAATAATATAATCAGAAAAAGTAAAGCGTTTCAATACACTGATCAAAATCTTAAATTTTCAATTTCAGTTGATTATCATAATTATCCCTTAAAAAAAATTAAAAGCCCAAATTGTATTTTCTCAAAAAATAAAATTTGAATATAAAACAAGAAAAGAAAGTGGTAAAAACTAGTAACTGAACAGGGCCTCAGAAGGAAGCAATAGAAGAATCCAGCAGTGAGTTATGAAAACCAAGGTGTTTACATGCTCATGAAGGTGTGGACAAATGCACACGCTGCAGGTGGGAGCATTTAGGTGAAATGTAGAAACAGCTGATACAAAAGATTGATGAACTGAGGGAGGAAAACTAATTAGCTAAATCGAGGACCTATAGAAAAAATCTCACAGAGGTCATGCTAAAAGAGCAAGAGAGACGACTAAGAAATAATTCCCAAGAGATAAAAAAAAAAGTATTTAAACAACCAAAAGACCTAAACAAGAAGCAATTGAAAAAAAAAAGACACACAATAAATCAAACATTCAAGTTTAATAACAGCTTTAGCTTAAGCTGTTTTTTTAGGGAGGTTAGGATTATTCAAAACTGTTTAGGGTACCAATGTATCAGTCAGGAGATGAGTAAAAGCACATTTTCAATGCATGCCACACTGAAGAGAAGTCTTCAAAAGTAGAAGAGTTAATGAACAGTAACATTAACAGGAATCATAAAGACATACAGTACGATCATCTAGGGTACAGATAATGTGGTAAACGCTGTTTGAAGAAAGAGCATTGGATGCTGCACCTCTCCAACCAGATGCTGCAGAAGTGTTTCTGTTCATAGAAATCAATAGAAAGATGAGACTGAAAGTTTCCATTCAGGAATTTCCTACCAGACTGCACTAAATCACACATAAACACTAATAGAATAACTTTAAGATGGTAGTGAAAAATATATATCTTCTTAATTTCATGGGGTGTGGGGCTTTTTGGATAAAATTTATTAGAAACTTGGATTACTTAGTTAAGGTTTTGATTTTATTTTCCTTATTTATTTTGATATACCTGTATTTTAGTTGGAATGGTAAAGATAACTATTAGAGGGGCATTTTGCTCTGGGCCCCAAGCAATTTAAGAGCACCCATATCAGTCCATGGATCAATATAGCAATCATTTGCCTGCTTGCTTGTTTTTTTTTTTTTTTTTTTTTTTTGTGGGTTTGTTTTGTTTTGTTTTTACATTATTTTTTTCCTCAGGTGTTTGTGGTTGTATTTTTAGCTACAGAAGCTGAATGTGAGTAACACAGTTTATCTAGGTTAATGGAGAAAAAAAAAACAACAAAAGAAAAATAAAAGTAGAAAAAAAAGGTATATCTATTGAGTTGTTTCACAGATTGGTGGACTGTTCTGTCTTATCAACCCGCGGGGGAAGAGCTCTTTGTGCTCAGAGATCAGAAGCGGGGGACATGCGCACTGCATGAGACGCTCCTTCTCAACCTATAACGCCTCCGGGAAATAAAATGCTCATCTCTCCTTTCATTGGCACCTTGGCAGCTTATCGAGTCGCTTTTATAACTTGACCCATTGGCAAAAACTCGTTCGGTTTCCTGTAAATGTCAATCGGTACCATCTGAGGGAGGAAGGTGGAGGAGATTCACCCAGAGACCTGTTGATCGTCTGCTTGCGCTGCGATGGAGGTGAGACTGCGCTGCTTCTCCTGTCCGTGGTTGCCATAGCAATGGAGCTAAGCGGGGTTTGTTTACACAAACATATTGACTATCAAATTAACAGAAATTAGTTCGCCGAAATGTTCCCGTTAGCTGCATAAACCAATAATCTCTCTTTTTACAGAGCAATAAAGTGTATGATTTTAATAGGAACTCTAAGATCTGCTGTGAGAGATAAACAGTCTTTATACATCCGATGTCCATCATTGGATCCTAATTATATATTAGATGAGCTCGTTTCCATGCGTCGTTTTTCTAAATCAAATCATGTTACTTGTGTTAGGCTTTGAATTCCCCCCCATCCTAAGTCAGATGGGTCGGGAGGCCATGTGTCGAAGTTAATTATCATCAGCTGCGGATAAAGCCTTTTGGGGCAGATTTAAATCCCGCTAAAGAGCATTAGGTGACAAGCAAGGCGCTTGGAAACAAACATGGCACAGGCCCTGGAGGGAGAGGATATACAGGGAAAATGATACAAGCTGATGAACAGATGTCAAATAATTATGTCTTACTAATTATTTGCATGGAAATGGAGAGGAGCTATAAGAAAAATATATATTGCTTTCAACAAATTGTCCCTCAGATGAAGTAAAGCATTTTAAATGTGCAATCAAAATCTTTAAAAATGTTCAAAACATCTTTATTTTTGTTGACTTTCTGTGTTTTAGGAGATGGGCAGAAGACTATGATATCAACCTGAGGAAGGAACATCAGAAGAACTCTCTCAGGCAATAATGGAGATCATTGGTGAGTATACTCAGTGACCTTTGAGATGCAGGGATTTATCTGAATCCCCTCAAATGTGTTGCATTAAACTCCTGAGGTTTACAATAAGGATATAAGACATGGCTGCTTTAGCCAGTCAGAATGGAGTAGTTACATGAGCAGGTGGCGCTGGCCTCACACTCCTGTCAAAAGTTTGCAGGGAAGACTTTACAGGGTTTTAACCCTCTGCCACAAACAATTAGCAGAGTTGGGGCTTGTGCTCATTAGTCCCGACTCTGCTAAAAGAGCAAGGACAACATGACCTGATGCAAAGGGAAGTCTTTTGCTTTTGTTCTGCAGCGTGGCAGACAGCCTAGTGTTTCCTACTTTAGTTTGCAAGGGTCAAACTTTAGCCTTATACTTATTGTAAAGGTTAGAGGAACTCACAGTTGAGCATTGCTGGGTCAGTGATGTCATTTCACTGCAGATGATCACAAGCCACTTTACTTAAATCAATGTGCTTCTATTTTATCTTTCAGTTTTTATAGTTCACCTTAAAGTTTTCTGATTTTCTGTGGTAAGCTAGAGTAAAGCTGACGTCAAAAAAGGAGTCATGCGTGCAAAAAGATATGAAATAGTTCCAGTAAACACCAAATATTAACCTCTCATAAACAGTAGATGGCCTTGATATTAAATAGAGAATAGATATTTAAAAGATAACACAGAAAACTAGAACATTATTTAAGAAATAATTGACCAATGATATTTTGGAAATGTAAAAAAATAATAAGCAAGTCAATGGATAATGATTCTATTGGGATTAAAGGCTACAACTAACCTCGCAGTTTCTTTTGTAATTAGGAGGCTAACTGGCAGCCAGGTCTGGCTTACCAAACTCATTTAATTAACTCAGTCTGCAGTTGTCTTTGGATTATCCAGCAGTTTGATAAAACAGTAGAAGGGAAGAAAGACATCAGCGATGCTATAACAGCATCTGTCATGGTCCTCAACTGTCTAGATAGTTGTAGGGTTTATTTCTAAAATATTTCAAGTCTAAACATATTTGTATATTGAGAAACATCAAAATATATTCAGAATGCGCTACTTTCATCAGAATTGAACTAAATAGAAGAGTGTACAGGCATTAAGCAGCAAGTAAAAACACTAGAAAAATACTGGACATGGTTTGATTTATGTTGCACTGAGACTTTAGAAGGAAATTGGAAAAAAAAGTTTTCTGGGCTTTATACATGTAAAGGTTTCAAGTAGTTTTTACAAGGTCCTCCAAGTGTCTTTGATAGCTCTTTAATACATCTTTTGTGCAGTAGTGTGTAGCTCAAAAACCCTTACTATGCAACCGAATTCCAACTTTACTTCTGAGATATTAATCTCAGTCATGAACAGTCAACCTATTCTCATTATGAGTGCGTGTGAAATCGTACGAAAAGTTATGCACCGTAATTCCGTACGTTTTGGACGTTTTTTTCGTCGTATGTGCATGCACATCTGACGCACCATTCACGAATATAGAATATAAATTACAATTAGCCCTAACCCTGACCCTAACCCTAAGATATAAAACAGCAAGCAATGTAGTTAGAGACATGAATAAGTGATGATTGCACTGTTTTTCCCATTTTTACGTCCGTCCGCGGATCTGCTTTTTTTTTCTGTCTGCCAGCGCATGCGCACTGATGTGGTTTTTTTGAGGGAAAACGTCCAAAACGTACGAAATAGTGTGCATAACTTTTCGTACGATTTCATACGCACTGATAATGAGAATATGTTGGAACAGTTGACTTATTTTAGTATATTTTCTATTTCAGAAAACTGTAGTACAGAGGATATCTCCTCTTTACTACACTTGCAAGAATTATTCTATATATATAAAAAAAATAATTTTGAATTCTAAGTTTCAACATAAACTGTAATATTAGTTTTAGACCAAACAAATTACCCAAACTTAAAAAAAAAAACTCAATGCCGTAAATGTTTGATAATGTTATACAAAGAAGATATCATAGTTTAATTGATATTTACAACTAAATTATTTGAATTATTATGTCAGGAATCACCTTTAGATGCTAATCAAATATTATGATAAGGTGTTTTACGTTCTTCTTGCTGAGTTTTCTTTCTTTAAACTATCCTCATCTGGCTTTACAATGCATGGCATTTTCAAAATGTGCAAACTCTACATAAAATTGGAATGATTTAAATTTTTTCAATTCAATAATTGTAATTGAATCGTAATAGCAATATACAATGTAAGGCAATGTGAGAAAAATATGTATTTCTTTAGAAAATGTTTCTGATGGTTTATACTAGTTAATACTGATGGTTTATACTAGTTTATACTAAAAGCCAAAACATCTATGTACTGTTTGAAGAGAGGCATTGAGAGCAGAGACTGTAGCCGCTTCCAAATGTTTGGCTTGTTGTGTTAAAAAAAGTTGATCTGAGACTTTTAAAATAAGAGTTCAGCAAATAGACATGAGACTGTAAAGGCTGGAAATATAGATGAACCGACACCTGCACAGATTATACATCTTTTGGCATGAGTTGGTAATTGGAAATTATGCTTCCAGTGCAATTATTTTAAACTATCCACGTATCCAATAGAAATAAGACATTTTTATTTGAATTACAAAAGAAAACAGCACATTATGATCGATGAAAAACTTTTTTGAACTAGGTGAGTTGATGATCTGGGCTTCTTCTACAGTCACAGTCTAAACAAATGGCTGTCAGTTCTTTGTTTTTGTACTTGCTGCCCATCATCACAACAAATAGCCTTTTTCAGAAGGAAGCCATTTCCATGTTGTAAATCACATACAGGCTAAAAGAGATGGATCAGAGTTACACAGTTATCTAATTAGGACATCATCATTCCAAGAGCTTTGAGTTACTCA